AATGCTGGAATATCCTTGACGAGATCATTCGACACTCGATATATACACTGCACACATTCGTTGATTTGCTCACACTTCATCATTATCTTCTTCAACAACGTCAAATACACTTGCATAACACGAATATCGTAGATGTTTTGCACGGTCGGTAACCAATGACAAAATCTGAAAAATTGATCCACTAAACAATTTCCATATCCAAATCGAAGTTCCGTTCATTACTTCTTAATATAAGTTGTGTTGAATGATTTCATCGCCCTATCTTGTAATGTTAATTCGTGTGCCTCAGTTCTACAATGTATGGCTTAGTTCTACTAGTGTTTGGTCGGTGACCACCGAAAATCAGTCGGTAATCACCGACGTTTTTCAGGTAGTCCTCGACCGTCGGTGAATACCGAGTTGCGGTGATTACCGACCCGTCAGTAACCACCGACTGCAACCGGCAAGGCTTGCTCGGTCGGTGACAGTGGCAAACCGCCCCGCGGTTACAACCGAACCGTAACTGATCGATGCTCAAAATTATGCGGTCGGTGAATACCGAGTTGCGGTAATCACCGATAGGGCTCTCGGTCGGTGACCACCGAGAAAAATCTTGCGGTTGCCAACACTAAGTCCTAATTAAGTTCTACAATTAACTCATAACGAATTAAATTTTACAATTCATACATACTCATCCATATACATACGTTTTGTTTCACGCACAATATGTATCCATGAGATTCAAATGATATTATCATCACTACCACTATTCAGCTTTTTTAAAATTTATTTAACCAGTAAATCCAACTCATAACGAATTTATGCCTCTGTGCTATCACCAGAATCACTAATATCATATTCGTCCTTCTTTGGTATTCTTCTTTCCTCGCACCTAACAACAACAGCGTTGGGAATCATCTGCTGTCTTCACAAAATTCTAACTTCGATTATTGACTGATTTAGCGACCACAACGTTTTTATGCTACTCGCCCATTTTGCCCAATGATTTCTAGGGAGAGGAACTACTACAATTATCAGTATTACATTATTACGGCAAGCGTTACAACAATTGCTATAATACTTACGTTTCAAGTAACCGTCCACCATCCTTGATTAAGCCAGATACTGGCAAATTGCTTAGACGTTCCATTTCATCGATATCGAATTGTTTTAATTTGATTCGTTCGATTAAATTCTCACATCCACTTACGAACTCTTGTTCACTTTGTGACGTTGTGCTTGTTGGGGATGTTTGCTGAAAGTGAAGCAAAAACTTTTGCTACGATAAATTATTTAAACGAGCAAAACTCTTCACAAAACAGTATTTCCCATTAACTTCATCCCCATTCCATAGAGAAACTTAACAGATTCTAACTCAATCACATGCAATCATTTTAAAAAATTCCAGCATTCGTTCAATTCCACATTATTTATTCAACGTTTCAACATTCCCCTC